TAGTACGATTCTAGTACGTATTCTAGTTGAAATTCTATTACTACACTATGTTTGTTTTGATTCGCTATGAAAGTTTGACAGATAACATCAGGGGTGTGTGGATTCATGCAGAACATGCAGGGGTGAGTGAAATAGCTTGGGACTGCTTGGGACCGTTGTTCTGGTACTGAGTGAGCCAAAAATAATAATGATTTTCTTCGGGACCCAGTGGTCTTAGAGTTACCTCTATGGTACTACCCACCACAGTGTACTCAACAGATGGCGGTAATGTTTTAGCGACGATGTTTTGCAGTGAAAAATATTCAATGTGTTATGTCTGTTTGTCTGTGGTGAAACATTGACCACATTGGCCTTTCCGGAGTCACTGGAATCCCCCGGGGGGAACCGAAAGTTGACCGAAAATTTACCTATCCTAGTTATTTTGAGTAACCCCAAAGATGAATACTAAGATGAAACTGCCGGAAGAAAAACTTTCTATTTTAGTGTCCTCTTTCACGGTCCCTTTCATCCAATGAATACCCCCCGTATTCAAGGTAATTTTGTGGTTTTGCTGCTCCCTCGGTAGAGATGAAATTTTTCGCTCATTTTTATCAAAACAATCACACCAAAATCAGAGATGTCCCATTTTTCAATTACTCGATTAACAACTAATCGATTTTTTTTTCGCTGTGCTGTCATTTTTCCACCATGTGCATGTTTGAAACGATGGGTGATGATCCTCTGGAGATGTTAATGCTTATATCGGCATGATATAACCGATTACAAAATTTGATGAACATTTCAAATGGTCCTATCTGCTTTGATCGATTCTCTTTATCGACTTTCTCTTTTCATAACCACTGCTATGCAAACAGATTTCGCGCTAATTCTACCACATAGTTTGATAAAGGAGGTTCTTATCTAGCGTCCAAAACGTCAAATACAACAGGGAAAGGTTTTGCAGCTGAGTTATTAACGAAAGAGAAAGTCGATGAAGAGAATCGATCAAAGCAGATAGGACCATTTGAAATGTTCATCGAGAAATATTTTACTTTTCGGTTCGTTAATCGATTAATCGATTATTCGAATGAAAAGCGGCCATCACTAGATGAATGTGAAACGTCATTTCAAATTTAAGGCCGTACATAAATAATGATACAATTTGAAAGGGACCGGGGCTCATCACAAATTACGTCCAAACGGTAACTGAAATAAACACGAGTGTTCACCGGTTGGTAACCCCTCTACATGATGAGAATATAGTAAATTACTATTTTGATTTCATTTGACATGTGGAATGTTTTGCTCAGGATACTTGATTAGGTGAGTGATTTAACAGACTATAATATTCGTTTTATTGGTATTAAATGAACGATTTAAAAAACAAAAGATTAACATATGACACAAAACGATTAGATGTTCGAAGTGTAAAATCAGATAAGTACGGAAAGTACTTAATTCAGATATCCCAAAACTCATCCGAGAGAGATCCCACGAAAGCTAATTGAGCCATGCGGTTTTGCATTGAGCCGATATCGATTCTGTGTGGTTTCACCAGTTTTAGAGAATTGCCTCTCTGACGGAACACTTGTTACCATTCTTGATAAATAGTCTAGTCTCGAACAATGGGGTATACATGGGGATATACACTACGGATTTTCTCCCCTGCTTGAAGAGGATCGACAGACCTTGGGAAAATAGGCTGATGCAAGAAAGTTTGTAATTCTGCCGATATACCCCTATGGCGAATTACATAATTCTGACATAGCATAGGACTGATGAACCTGAAATATGTCATAAGAAGTAGTAATCCTTTATATAGAGATTCGCGGAAGCGGACATTTTGAGTCAATCGAGCAGCGAGAACTGTCAAAATGTGAACCAAACGAGCATTCTGATAAGAAAATATTTAGAGGATTTATTATTAAGCTGAAAAGTATTGTAATCGGGGTGAAATAAATTCAAACGAAACGTTTATAAATAAAAAAAATATATAGCAGTAAAACGCGTATGTTAACCGAGATGTTAACATAAGAGAGTTTCAAGCATAATTAACAATAATATAATAAATTGTGAATGGATATTTTTTTTATTGATTTTTCAGTTTTGAAAATATAAATAAAACTGTACGCTGTTTTTTTTAATACATCAAAATTCTTTAGCAAAATGCAATTGTGTGTGCTTGAAGTGGTACTGGAAGAAACATTAAATTTTAACTAAATATATCCCTAGGGGCAAGCCAGCTGTACTCCGAGTTAATATTTTTGCATCGAGTAAATTTGAGTTACTCATAATTACTCAAAAATGATCAAAGTAGTCTTACGTCAACATGCGAAAACATTTTAAATAAACATTATCTGTCATCAGTTTGAATAAACATCGACTGAAATCCAACGAACGCTTGTGATGAGGATCCGGACCCGATTCCGATGATGGCGGATGATACTGAGCTTATCCTATCAGCAAGATGGTGGTTTGGCTAGTTGTGTACCGTTGTTTAGTGAGATGGCAGTTGGGTAGTGGGCTAGTATTTAGATGGATTAGTACAGGTGCCACAGAAGGAAGAAGTGGTAGTTTGTTTACTAAAATGAACATGACAGTTGTATATGGCAAGTTTGGATATAATCAATCCTACTCGTGTTTATTCGCGAAATTCACATCAAAGATTGATCACTTGCGTAGGAAATTAATTTGACAAGGCATTTTTGACCAGCATACACCAGGTCCAAATCCGTCCGTCCGTCTATGGCATATAGTAAACTTTTGATGAAGATTAACGGCAAATAACTAACCAACACTAGCGAACCGTGAGTACTGTGCCTCCTATATATCCTTCCATCTTGGGCTGGTATGGCAGTTTCGTGGCTATGTGGAACTGATTCCAATGCTGAGGTGCTTCGTTCTGTCTATGTCGGTCGTTGACAACAAGGCCACGCTTTGTCGAACCGATAAAGGGATTCCTCCTAGTCCTTACTGATTAGGGACGTCGGATAAACATCGCAGAACTTGTCAATCCAACACCTGTGACTCAAGTATTGCCCCTGTGACTACAAGTATTGCCCCAAGAAGAGGATAAGTTACCTATTCAAGAAGGATGGAAACTTTTTCTTTGAATAATCGATTAATAAAATGATTAATATGAATAAATGAATACCAGTTTCTTATTTTCATTAAATCCCAGCCAATGGAATTTTGCAGATATCAACAATAGGAAATTTCTTACTGCAATTTCATTAATGTATAATGTACGATGTCCAGTTGGAATAATAAAAAAATAATTGAATATAACCTGTAACCCTGAAACTGCAACATTGCTGCATTTAATTTTATCACTGTCCCCATAAAAATCATTTGAATATTTTGAGAGCCGTTAACCAAATGTCTTCTAGTAAATATTCATTTATGCCAACTATAGGGCTTATGCTTAATCTGAAAACGGTATGGAACAATTATACGTTTAGAATCGATTGGGGATGGGCTACACTACATTCCGGAAGACGAACAGTTACGTAATTTGAGAATGATGTTCCGGTATGAAACGGGGCTAGAATGTATTGTTGTTTGACAATTGGGAGAAGAGCACAACAAAAAAAAAAACCAAAAAAAAAACATGGCTACTGAGTCAATACAAACAGAATTTTAAGCAGCTCGAGTTACTCAGAGTAACTCAAAATTAACTCCATTCTAACTCATGATCAAAAGCTGTCCTGCCCCCAGATATATCCAAATAATAAGCACTGTTACATACACTGCACGAACGTATAGAATCCACTAGAGAAAATCCGACGGTATTCCTCCAAACTCTAGCCATTTTTGCAAAGTTCAGCGCTTTTCGGAAACCGGAAAAAATGTTACACTTCGTTATTCAAAAATTGTAACGTAACAACGTTAACACACTAACTCGTATCGTAGACAACGTTGAAGTCACGCACTAAGCTGGAACATTTTTCTCCACGGCAAGTGTTGGCAGCTTTGGTAAACATCGAGGGGGGCCACACATCTAAATCTCAAGTTTAGATGGTCAACAAATCTCACACTAGCGAATCAATCTTCGAACAATCTTCTTTCATTTGTCGCATCTACTTGCATCGCTCATCAATTTTTTGCAGGAAATCTTCAGAATCGTCATCAACCTTCTTTCTATCTACTCAGCGTGCGCGCAGCTAGCCACAGCAAAACACAATCTTTTTTGCATCGTAGATAGAGTCGTCCCCCTCGGTAAACATAACAAATCACGTTGCCAAATCGTCTCATAATTGTTCCGCGAATCTCTATATATAGGATTACTAATAAGAAGTGAATGTTTCTACTGAACTATCTGTCACATTGATTGTTCGCAGAATCCATGTTCAAGGCAAGTGATGTGTGAAGACAATAAAATATCAATATTAAATTAGTCTCTATCAACTACTAAAATATGCGTATACTGGCATATAATTGCATATCAGTACCATGTGAATAGGAAATCAAGGACTGATACTCGGACTGATATGCAATTATGGGCAATAAACTTAATAGAAAAAATTGAACGGCCTCTTTTTAGCAATCTATTTACATTCCTATGAAAAAAATACGAAAATCGAAACTAGCGACATCTTTACGCCAAACGCATAACAAAACCTCTCTAACAACCATGCCCACTCATTCATCGAGTCAACCTACTCGAAACAAGCAACCAATGGTATCGCTTTTGTTTTGACACTTCCAGCCAGATGCAATAATGTACACGCTATTTTAAAACTCCCCAAATTTGGGTAGAATCCAGATCGATCAAAACTGAACCTACTTAAAAATCGATAAACTAAGTTGGGAATGACAAATTGGCAAATGAACAAAGTCGATCGGATTCATGTTGATGTTTTCAATTTGTCAACTTGTCACACCGCACATACTTTACCCATTTTTGGGTAGGTTCATTTTTGACCGACCAGGGTGGATTCTACCCAAACTTGGGTAGTTTTGAAATAGTGTGAAATTAACCAAATAAACAAACCACCTTCTAAAATTTGTGCATCAGAGCTGCTCGTGCAAATTTTTTTCAATTTTTAGCGGAACACTTTCTCCCAAGCGAATTAAAATGTGCTCACCATTGTGGCTCTACTGCCGGGGATGTTAGAATGACCAAAAAGAAACCATCGCCGTGAGTATATTTTGTTCTCCATCCTTCTCAATCAAAGTGTAAATAAACCCTCCAAATCCCATCGTTCGGCTCGGACAGACAAAACCGCATCTGGGAAAAGGAACGCCGTGACCGGTTGAATCAAACGTTCGACAGTCTATCGAAACTGCTGCCCGAGTATGAACCGGCAACTCAGCTCAGCAAAATCGAAGTCCTCCAGCGGACGATCGAATATGTGGAGAAACTACAGGACAAGATTAAAGCCTTCCTCGAGGAACGGGACACCCTGCTCAAGAGTATAATTTCAATTTGTTTTGCTGTGTTGAAAATTGTGTTCGGCGTGGGTTCATTTAAATTTTTCATTTTAGAACACGTTGATGAATTGGAGGAACGTCTGCAGGTGTTGATAGCAAGAAACGAGGATTTGGCAGCTCTACTGAAGAAATCCAACATCAACGTTCCTCCCTGCAAGCTAGCGTCGCCAATCAGCGGAAAGGATTCACCCGTAGGGAAACAAGATGCTTCACCACTGGACCCAGCTAAATCGAGCAAGAAGCCACCTTCCAAGCAGAAGAAAGCGTCGGATAAGGAAGATTCCGACAGAAAAGCGGGGGAAGCTTCGGGTAAAACGGATACAAATTCTGTGATAGAAAACATCAGTAGCGTCAGCAGTGATATTAGCACTGCTGTTTCTACTTCCGAAATTGTGAGCAAATCGGTAGCGGAAGCCGTTGCGGTTGTAACCGTGAGTAATGTCACGGCTACGGCTCTTCCGGTTGCCGTTACAACCAGTGTCTCCGGCACATGTCTCGTTATGGCCAACAATCAAATCGTGGGCACCCTGAAGCAGTCGAATGGCGGTAAGTACGAATGCAATTCATAGTTATTAAAAGACAAAGAAGGATTTTTTTTCTAAAAGGCCATGAGATCGTATAAAAAAGTGCTTCCAATAGAGAATCAGGATTTTTGCATAGAGATTGTAGTTGCAAGGTTTCAGAAACCTGTAGGAAAAGTCATAGACTTCTTTTTAACGATGAAAAAAGTGCCTTTAGTATGTGTCCAACGTCACTTGCATGCCATTTTCTTGTAGTAAGGAGTCTTCTTTCCACAAAAATGATGTCCCTGTAGGTGCTAAGGTGTAAGAAATTTCTTGAATAGACTGAAGTAGGGTAGATGACGGCTTCGGCAATACCTTATTCTATTATCGTCAGAGGGGTAAACAACGTCCTTGAGGGCTCAATTTTGGCATGTGGATACATGTTTCAGAGCATCTATTGGCCAAATTTAAGTGCTCTAGGACTTTGTTTACCCCCTGACGATAATAGGTTAAGATATCGCGGAAGCCGACATTTCCCCTAGGTATCTGCTATAAATGTCATCACCGTGGCAGACCGAAAAAATCGGTTAGGCTTCGTCTAAGGATGATTCAGAAAGAGAATAAGCATGTTTTAGAAAGAACTAAGCGTTTAGTCTAACCGAAAATGTATTGAGCAATGAAACACATTTAAAGATCTCTAAAAAAGGTTTAAAATGCTTTCTAAAAGAATCTGCAGTTCCAGTAGTCCTTGGTTTCATTTGAATGTTTGTTTTGGATCGTTTTTCAACAAAATTATACCATTTTTAAAATGTGTAGACATGTCTGAATAAAGCCTTCCAGATAAAACCTTTTGTCTTCATTAATGTGTTTCTAGAGTAGCTAAATCTTATCAAAAAAACAATGCTCTGAAGTGGTCTTGATACGATCTCTACGCCTCACTTTTATTACTCAAGTTACCAACTAACGAAACCACGCCTTCTTAGTGAACGTCACTCCTGCGCTGCTACCAACACCCATAATGGCCACCGGGGTCATCATATCCAACAACGGGAACCTCCTTCAAATGCCACTGGCAGTACCGCCAACTTCGTCGCTTCTGATCGTCAGCAACGAAGATGTACGGTCGAAGCTCAGCCTGCGAAAGACGAGGGGATCCGGTTCCAGCTCAAAACCTTCGTCCTCGAAGACCAACTCTGCTCGAAAGGGGAAATTTACCATCAAATCCATCGATGTCATTCCGGGACGGATTGTCAACGGAAAGATTCCTATCCCACCGCTGAAGCGACCTCCTCCCACAGGAAGATCGAAAAAGGAAACGCGAAAGAAGCGAAGAAAACGGAAAGCAAGTGAACAAAAGGAGAACGAAGAGATTGGAGAAGCGAAGAAAGCGAAGTTGAACGATAGTAAGAGTGAGGAGGTGGTTGATGAAGTCGGTGAAGTACCAGAAGTACCTGAGGCAGCAAAGCAACCCGAAGTTCAACCAACTGAGAATGTAATTCAGGTTCAGGAAAGACAAACAGTTCAAGTGGACGATAGAGCCAGCTCGCTTGAAATTAACCTCGATCAAGGAGATCTAACTGTAGACATCTTCGCTAACCTGCAGGTTCCAGACGAGGAGCCGGACGTCAATCAAGGATCCCTTTCGCCGACCGCAGCTTACCTCATGAACTTCCCGCTGGTTTCCACGGGTGGAAAGGCTAGTGGTAATCACGTGGAAGGTGCTGGAGAGGTGGAGCCTACGGATTGCGTCGAAGGTGATAAGAAGACTTCACAGCAAACTCCCGATACTAGCCTGCTGTTGGACAATTTCTCGTCATACTTCAATCCAACCATATACGCTGGTCTGGACAGTGTGATTCAGCCAATTGTAGAAATCCCTGTTACTTCCGTAGCAGTATCTTCCAGCTTTTCAACGATTTACCAGTCAATCGACAGTATGATCGAGCATAAGACACCCCGAGTAACGGTAACCTCGGACTGCAGATACAACACAACGCCTTTCACGTTTACGCTAACATCTACAAGCAATACCATAACGACTCAATCCTACGATTACCGGCACGCCTCATCGTCCAACTACTTCTATCCCACGGCCGCGAGCGCTACCAAACCCATTGACGACTTCGGCCTTCCAAAACTGCCGATCGTCAGTGAGTTCACCTTCTCTCTGACGAGTACGATTCAGAGTGGTCCAAAAACCGTCCAATCGCAATATACGAACAGTACGATCTTCTCGTCAACCATCACTACGCCTTCCTACAGCACCTATGGTTATCAAACTAAAGCCAGTAAAACCGCCAACTACAACTCCAACTACTTCCCTGAAGTTTCCAAACCGGAGTCGAAGACTCCAAAAAAGTACGACTTCTTGGAAGCAGAGAAACCTGCAACAAGCTTCACCTTCTCGCTAACGTCGACTACCAAAACCAACCCCAAAAATACGTATCCACCGGTAGTGGCTTCTTCGTCATCGTACACCACACCATACGTTACCACTTCGGCATCTTCGTGCGCTAAAATCGAAGACTGCCTGTACAAAGCCTCCAAATCATCTGTCACCAGCCAAAATCTCTACAAAACACCACCGAAGCAGAAGGTCAATCACTACCCCGTAATTTCCACTGTCCAGTCAACATTCCCAACACAAACATCAACACACTCGCAGTCCAAATACGATGTCAACTGGATGACTTCGCAAGATCCGAAACCATCTACCAACAACCAAGACTACAGTCAACTTCTCCCGTCGCTTGAATTCAACACTGCGCCGTCTCATACCTACCAAACCAACATCGATCTGAGTCGCAAATCGGACATCTTCTTCGCCCATCCATCTGGCGAGGAAAACCTGGTAACGTGGTCACCGAACAAGCTTACCAACATCCTCAACGACACCACGTCCTCGTACTATCCATCGACCACCACTAGCCTACCGAACCTGCACGGAGACCTAGCCCTCAACTGCCCCCTGAATACGAACAAACCGATCCATCAGCAACGAAAGCCTAATGATTCGTGTAGCACCTTCCTTTCCGTTCAGCAGCTGGTCGATCAGCCCCGGAAAAGTACAACCAGCAAGAATTACTCCAGTTGCAGTAACTACTCCACCAACCAGAAGCCGTTGAACAACAACTATTCCGCCGAATCGCTCATTGGAACGTCCACTGGCAGTTCCAGCAAAAAAGACAAATTCTACACCGATACCAGCTACAACAGCTACAGTACGTACCAACCTGAAGTGAACTCCGGAGCTGGTCTCTCGTTCAACTTCGATTATTCAACCGACTACAGCAAAAACTACAACTACAGCTGCCAACAGAACTACATGCCTTCGTTCGTTGACAACAGCTACGGTCTCTCTACGATATCATCGGCCACTTTAACGACCCCCTCCTCGTCATCGTTCCCGGTTACCAGCTGCTACGCCGGTTATGGATACCCGTCGGATAAGAAACAATCAAGCTCTTCTGCCACCGGTAGCTACTATCAGAACTCTTCCTACCAATCGGGTACCGTTCCCGATATCCCGTATTATGTCCCTGCGACGGAAAAACGAACACTCCCATCTAACCCTACCAACGCGAAACCGAAGAAGCACCACAAACAGCCGCTGCCGTCGACCGACTACAGCTCCCTTCCATCGAGCTTCCCAACGATTCTACCGCCGCCACCTAGTTTAGCGCCAGCACCAACGTTGGACGATCCCCTCAGTGGCTACAATGTGGTAACGACCACAAGCTACCAACAATCGTACCAAGCCACCATGCCGAATTACTCCTTCGGTAGTCAACCGTACCAGCCGTCGCCGGTGGCTTCGGCAGCAGTCGTTGGCGGCAGTGGTAGCAGTTCGACGCTAACGAACTTCAATCTCAGCACCATCTGTCCGGAGATCAACGAGAAGAGGGGCCCATCGAACAATGGTGGAGGACCGGCAGCGGTGATTGGTGGAACGGTGAGTGCCAGGCATACAATTGCCGGGGTCGGCGGGTGGTGAGGGGTATGTAAATATTTATAGGGTTTATAGGCTGAATATTTGTAAGATAATATAAATAGCGAATGAATTTTAGAACGCTTTGCATTTAATGGCTGTTTGAAAGAATGCCGATTTCGAGGAGCTTAAGGATTTTCAAACATTGGACCCGGTCAAGGATATTAAAGAGCCTGCATTTATAAAAGAGACGACATATTATATTATCCATTTGACAGGTCTTCTGCTCGATTGGAATGACTTTGAAATTTAGGCTCTTTAAAGGATATTTTTTTTTGTAATTACTTTATTTGTACAGGCTCAATCGAATAAACTTTACAGAGCCGAGTTATCTTTTGCGTTATACATTATTACTGTCTTATATTTAAAGTTAAAGGAATTGGACCGAGTACTCGCGGTCGTCTCGAGGTTAGTGGAAATTTACAATTTTTTGGATGGGAAAAGGGAAGAAGGAGGTTTTAAATGTGGTTTACGATACAACTATTTAATTAATCCTAAAGCATGAAATTATTTCTATTCATCTTGAAAACAAACATTGAAAAAAAAAACCCCAGACGTACAAAACACAAACTAAACACAAGGTTAATCAAACTTACAATCTAAGGTTAATATCCTTAAAGTAAACATATATGAGTTTCATAAACTCCAGATCGCGTCTAGCCAAAATATCCCGAACTGGAACATTAGGTTGTCTACCTCGAGCCCGAAGGGAATCATAAAAATGTGATCTGACTCCACGATACTCCGCACAAGACCAAAGGATGTGATCAGCGTCCTGGTAACCTTGTCCACATTCACAGAGATTGCTGTCTCCCAACCCCACACGGAACAAGTGAGCGTTTAGACAATAGTGATTGGACATGAGACGAGACATCACGCGTATGAAGTCTCGACCCAAGTCCAACCCTTTGAACCATGCAAACTTCGACACCTTAGGGATAATTGAATGTAGCCATCGTCCCAAGCTCCCTTCACTCCATTGATGTTGCCAGCTAACGAGCGACTGTGACGATAAATAGAGAAAAATTCACTATAGGCGATCTGTCGATCATAAATGTCGCCTTCCATAGCGCCCACCTTCGCAAGTGAATCCGCCTTCTCATTGCCCAAAATTGAGCAATGCGAAGGGACCCACGCGAAGGTCTTTGAAGGATATGTTCAATTAGTTTTTGCTACACGGTAGTACATAATTTTGAGTTCTTTTCACTCAGGTTGGCAGTTCCATGCGCCAACTAAATTTAGAGTTCTAGCGCCTACTCAATTTTGAGTTAAGAGACGGATTCATGTCAATGTTGTTCATTTGTCAACTTGTAGTTGGGTGAATAGAACTCAATTATGGGTTTATTTGTTTATTTGTTTATTTGTTATGGTTGCATCAACAGACTAGAAATAGTCCCAATGATGTGTTGTAAAAAAGTACAGATTATACAGACGACATACATATACTACAGTTACTACAGTTACAAACGAAAATAACTAGGAAAGCATTGTCAAGTTACTAAAAATTTAGCGCCTAAAAAAAGCGCCTTCGGTCAGCAAAAAAGGCAGAGAATCTTCGGCGAAGCATATTCCGTGTCAAGTGGAAATCGAACATCGACGCTACTCGGTTGAACACTAGCTGCAAGCCGTAAATAGCGCTCCCTATGCTATAATTAGTTCGAAGAAGTGGAAGTCTCAGCATAAGACTGTTGCGTAGTGATCGAGGTTGAACATTAATGTTCACTTGTTGCAGAATTGCTTCGCAGTCGATTCTTCCTTGCAGAGTATCGGCGACGGTTAAGGCTCTGAAAACATCTCTTCGGATACGTAAGGGCTCGATATTAATCAATTGGCAGCGATTCTCGTAGCTTGGAAGACGAAGTGGGTATCTCCAAGGCAGCTTACGGAGCGCGAAGCGAAGAAAACGTCGTTGAACAGATTCAATTCGCTCGGCCCCATTATTGTAGTTCGGGCTCCAGACAGCAGAGCAGTATTCCAACGTAGATCGTACGAGAGAGCAATAGAGCGATTTCAAGCAGTAAATGTCCGTGAAGTTCTTAGTAATCTTGAAGACAAAGCCAAGCGTTCTGGACGCTTTGTCGACGACATACGATATATGGTGTCAGTATGTCAGCTTTGAGTCTAGAAAAACGCCTAAGTCTTTCACGCATTGCACCCGTTCGATAGTCGTGCCTAGTAGTTTGTAGTTGAAAATAATCGGTTGCTTCTTGCGTGAGAAAGTAATAACTGTACACTTAGCTGGGTTGACCACCAGTCGGTTTAGACTACACCAGTCAGCAAAGATGTCAATCTGATTTTAGAGAGAACGACAGTCGGCGAGTGAGCGGATGCGCAGAAAAACTTTCAGATCGTCTGCAAACGATAATCGTGGCTCTGTGATAACATGGTGAACGTCGTCGAAGTAGAGGAGAAATAGCAATGGTCCCAGATGGCTGCCCTGAGGTATACCGGTCTTTGCGCAGAAGCTTGCTGAGCGACAAGTACCCAAAGTTACTGTCAATTGGCGCTCCGTGAGGTATGAACGAAACCATCTCAAAAGATTTCCACCAATCGCAATTTCGTGGTTCAGCTTATCGAAGGCTGCCGTAAGATCTGTGTAGATAACGTCCGTTTGGGTCCGAGCAATCAAACTGTCTGTGATGTAAGACGTTAGGCACAGCAGGTTCGTAGTTGTGGAACGCCCAGTTATGAATCCGTGTTGATCTGTACTTAGATATTGCTTGCAATGCGCATTTAGGGACTCTATGACAACCAATTCAAAAAGTTTTGATACAGCACTCAGCGACGTGATTCCCCGGTACTTGTTTACGTCGCGTTTGCTTCCCTTTTTATGAACAGGAAACATATCCGCAGTCTTCCAGCAAGACGGAAAGATGTCGCTGGAAAGAGGGAGCTGGAATATGCGGCGCAGTGGATCTAAAAGACAAGTGATGTTCTTTTTAAGAATAATCGACGGAACACCATCGGGTCCAGCCTTAGTTGAAGTCTTAAGTTTAGATGCTGCTCTAGAAATCGTATCTGTAGTGGCTTCGACCATGCTGAGCGTTTGGTTGATCAAAGGAACATTACTGGCCGGGGAAGTACTGATATTAGCGGAGAGTTGCTCGGCTTCAAACACACTAGCAAATTTGGCTGAGCACAGGTTGCAAATGTCTTGTTGATTTCCAGCAGTTTCACCATTAAAAATCATGGAAGAGGGTAAGCCGACTTCCCTGCGTTGCTCAATTACGAAGTTCCAGAAGGATTTCGGGTGTGATTTTAGCCGCCGTTGAATCCTCCTTTGATAGCGTTGAAAACAGAGACGACTTAACCGCTTAGGAAACATGCATAAATGACGTAGCATTTGAGGGGGGAGGTAGGGGTTTCAGAGTTTGTGACCGACCATGTATTGAATATAGCAAAATACGCTACGAGGGGGGAGAAGGGGTCTAAAATTGATCAAAAATATGCTACGTCATTTATGGATGCTCCCTTATACTCGTGGTTGAGTCTGACATAGTTGCATTTCAGTGGCAGTGTGCGGAGTTTAGTAAATCTTCTGAGAGCAGCCTGCTTAGTTCTTTTCAACGAGCAAAGATCTTTCGTCATCCACGGGACGCGAGAGTCGATATGGATGATCTTTTTGGAAACGTGTCTGTCAATGACATATGCCAAGATGTGAGAAAAGGTTTGCGCAGCAACATTGACGTCTACAGGATCTAGAATATGCTCCCAATCTAGGTTAGACAGCACATGGACGATACTGCAATGGTCAGCTCTACGGAAGTCATATGACACAGCGTTTGGAGTGCTGGTGAAATCATGGACAATATTATTTTCGATCACTAAAGCAGGGTGATGATGCACTACCTAAAGGTTCGGGTGCCGTGGAGAGGAAAGGAGCTGTATCACGAGCACTCACAAAGCAGAGATCCAGGGTGCGGTTGTTTTCATTCAACAGACCATTGATTTGTGACAGAATTGCGGTACTATAACCATAGAGGTAACTCTAAGACCACTGGGTCCCGAAGAAAATCATTATTATTTTTGGCTCACTCAGTACCAGAACAACGGTCCCAAGCAGTCCCAAGCTATTTCACTCACCCCTGCATGTTCTGCATGAATCCACACACCCCTGATGTTATCTGTCAAACTTTCATAGCGAATCAAAACAAACATAGTGTAGTAATAGAATTTCAACTAGAATAGGGTACGTTAATCGTTTGCTTGGGACCAATAGGCTACTAAAGTGGTGAGCCAATTTAAAATCGTTAGTTTCGTATTGATTGTTGCTATAACTGTCCAGGAGCTGGATGGTTCCTACGTGGAAAAGATGAACGCTCGTGATCAGGACAAAAGAAACCACTATGGGTTGGAGTCCATGCAATGTCCGGTAGGTTACAATAACTTCTTCGGAAGGCCCTGCTTTGTCTGAAGCGGCCAAGACGGATCGACAATGTGCGTCAATAAGCTCCAAGTCACGGGTTCGATCTGGAGGAATGTACACTGCACAGAGAAGCAATTGACGATCACCAAGTTGAATAGCCACCCACATTTGTTCAACCCTGTTCCAGGAATCGTCCTCGATAACTTCTGCTTTCAGCTTGGAATTAACTGCGATAAGGACGCCTCCCCCAGTAGTTTTCCTACTATTATTCGTGTTTCGATCGCAGCGAAATATTTCGTAGCCAGCACCAAAGACATAGTTTGAAATGGTTCGATAATTGAGCCATGTTTCGGTCAAAACTAAAATGTCGTAGCAATGATCCATGACGGCCAGATGATAATCTTCCACGAGGCCGTTCATACCGCCAACGTTCTGATAGTAAATCGTTATGTCCGACCTCCGATGTTCGGGAACAATGGAAGGTTCAGCGTGTAGTTGCATTTGGGAGCTGGTAGATGTCACTTGACGGAGGAAGGATGTTTGAGTAGGGCCGTTGCCAATAACAGGAATGTGGAAGATCCCTTCTCCCATCTCAAACGCAGGGCCGGGACGACTGCTGGTTGCTGGCAGGAGGGGCTCGACTGCGATGAGTGGAATAGGGGCTTCCTCAGGGCGGACGG